ATCCCGATAAATATGACCTCATATCGTCTCATATGAAAGAAAAGCGTGCAACCTACTGATAATGTATCTTGTGTGACTTTCTGAATTAAGACAGGTTTATACCTTTCAAAATAAATCTAAGAAATTAAAGAATTAAACCTCTGTTGTATGTCATACCCCCTCTCTCTCTCATGTTTCCTGTCTGCCTCTGCTGTCCAATAAAGACGACAAATGAATGCTAAATTCACTTATTTATAAAGTATTTAATGTGTGTGTGTGTGTGTGTGTGTGTGTGTGTGTGTGTGTGTGTGTGTGTGTGTGTGTGTGTGTGTGTGCAGGTGGGATGCAGGACTATAACTATGTGTGGGCTCAGTGTTTGGAGTTGACTCTGGAGGTTTCGTGCTGCAAGTTTCCTCCAGTCGGAGAACTTCCTGGTCTGTGGAGGGACAACAGGAAGTCTCTGCTGGCCTACATCAAGCAGGTCCACCTGGGTCAGTACCTGTCTGTCTGTCTGTCTGTCTGTCTGTCTGTCAGTTTCTCAGTTTATTTACCTGTCTCACTGTATACCTGTCTATGTCTTTACCTGTCTATGTCATTACTTGTCTGTCCTAACTGCCTGTCTATGTCTTTACCTGTCTGTGCCTTTACCTGTCTGTCTTTACCTGTCTGTTTCCATACCTGTGTGTCTCTCCTGTTGTTTTGAACTGAAACTGAACCAGGATCAATACTTAATAATCACCTGATACTACCTATATATGTGTGTGTGTGTGTGTGGGTGTATGTGTTTTGGTGTGTGCTTGCAGGGGTCAAAGGTCGCGTGTTCGATGGCTCCGGAGTGCCGGTCCAGAACGCAGTGGTGGAAGTCAAAAGTCGTAATAATATGTGTCCGTTCAGAACCGACAAACACGGAGAATACTACAGACTGCTGCTGCCTGGAAACTACAGCTTCACAGTAAATAGCACAGCGACCTCTAGTGGTGGACAAATACTGCGAAGCCCCCGCAGTGTTTGATCAAAACCTTATTGTTTTTAAAATGTTTTGCCAAATGAAAATATATTAAGCTGTAGAAATATTACATTTTTGCTAAGTGGCTAAATGAGACCACAAAGGGGACATTAAAGAGTAGAAACTAGTTCCTCACAGAGTTTATTTTGATGCTAACTTCTTGGTTTGCGTACAAAAATACGTCATGAAATGGGGGCATTTTCAACCTTTCTGTTACTCCGTTTTTGTCTTTATTCTGTATTAAATGTGCATTTGAAGGGCAATATTTTCATAACAGGTGTCTGTGTTTGACAGGTGACGTACCCGGGTCATGAGGTTTTGACGGAGACACTGAACGTCCCATATGGTCCTGATAACTTCTCCGCCATGAAACACGACTTCCACTTACGACAGATCGCCACAACAACCGCCCGCACCCAAGCTAACCTCACCCATGCTGACCTCACGCCTTCCTGTAACTACACGGTACACCTGGAAGCAGGCGGAGCCGTCGCCAGGCACGCCAGGAAGGGGCTGAGTGTGGGGCTCGGCCTGGTGGCGGCGGTGCTACTGTCCCTGAACTGAACTGAAGCTCCCTGGTGCTCAAGGTGACGGTTGCAGGTTTGAACCCCTAACCCTAACCCAACCTGCAAGAAACCGAACCAACAGCGGTATCTGAAGAGACGTTTTGAAGCCGGGAGTTTTGAGGGCAATCAAATCTCCTTACTGGCGAACTACTGTAGCTGGCAAGCTAATGTGCTAGCAGAAGGGAACACTGTGTGCGTGTCAGTCACAATGTTACAGCTCTGCCTCTAACTAAAGTTCTCACACTTAATTCAAGAAACTTTTTTGTACCACTGGCTTCAGTCTGTCCACGAATTATTCCTCTTTTGTGGAGGATGTTATATAAATTTATTGAGCTAATAAGCTATAATAGCTTCCTCTGTTCTGCTCAGTTCCCCAAGTTTGCACAGATTTGCAGTTTCAGTCAAAAAATAATATATATATTGCTGCAAGATTTCACCATAACTTTGTATTTCTAAAAATAAGTTGTTTTTTTTTGTTTCCTTCAATACAAACCCAGTTCAATCCTACACAATGCCCCTGTTCCTGTGTGCACTCTCACAGGAATTAACAGGATTTAAATCTAGATTTTTTTTTAAAAAAGGGATCGCAGGAGGAAAAGAGGATTTCATCTTCCCCGCTGAGATGTTACAGCATGTGAAAGGAGCGCATAGAGCGGCGATGAGGCTCATTTAAGTGTGGTGGAGCTAGACGGCGTAATCTTATATGTGAGCAGGAGCACTTTAAAAGTATAGCACTTGCAGGGAGACTGAACGCTGTTTATAGAAACGGTAGTATTTAAGGACATTACAGTAATGGAGGGCTAAAATTACAACGACACAAGCTGTGAAATTAAGCGATCCGGGTGACGCCACGCATTAATCATCTATCTGAACTCACCGAGGTGCGTTTGATTTACCACTCCGGAGGACGTGTTCATAAAGCCGTTCATCCTTTCTCCTTATTTTATGATTGTATGAGGGGAGTTTAAACCATCCCCAATCCATCACTACAGGACAGATTAGTCCAGTAGTTCCTGATAGGGGTCACAAGGAGACTTTAAAAGGGTCACAAAGCCAAAAACAAAGTTGGTTTCACTGGTTTAAATGAAAAACCAGGACTGGGAATCAAACCTGTGACTTCCAGCTCAGGTCACTTATACAGTATCTGTACACAGTGTGTATATATATATATATATATATAGTCATACAGTCACCCATTGCTCATACAGTATCTGTACACATATAGTATATATTTATATACATATATAAATACATGTATCGAGTTCACAGCAGCTCCAATAACAACAACAACAGGTGTGGCGCCTCTTTTAACACGGGGTCAGAGGTCACTTTTTCTCCTCATTTCAAACGTCATTCTTGCCAAATATTAGTTTTTTTTTCTACTTTTTTACTGTTTGATATTAAATGTCTTCTTCGTAAAATAATCCTCTGTGCCATGTTGTAACTGTGGTGACTGCAGGATTCAGTCACAGCAGAGCTCTTGATGTTTTCTTTTTGTTTTTATTACACTGTAAAACTGTAAAACGCCTGCAGTGGTTCCACGTACTGAATCCTGAAGTAAACTCATCAGTAGGTCTGGTTCTCGAAGGAAATCTCACATTAAAAGTACGAATAACTGCACAAAAATACAATTGCGTTGTGTGAATTGTGTCTTGCTGTCAACTCCTAACTGGATTTTTATCTGTATAGAAGCCCAGTAATGTATTAAAAGTTAGATATAGATGATATATTACAACATTACATTCTAAAATAACTTGTTACATTATCAGATTACTGCCATTAAAAAGTAACTGTACTGTTACATTGTTGCCTACTAAGAAAAGTACTTATGCGTTACCAAAAATGTTCTACTTTGCATTTTATGTGCATGTCAGTTATATTGTAACCAATCAGTAATTAGCCTGCAGAGCTACAACATTTTCTTTTTCTGTGGCAACAAACAAATTGTTTGTTTTTGAAAATATAACTGGTAACTTGAATTGCAAAACTTTACGTAACTTGTTACAACAAACAAAGTGTAATCTAAAGTATCAGTGTAGGGGGCTAACATGCTACAAAGTAACGCATCCACAACACTCATGATGAACAATAAAAATGTAGTTTAAATGTAACTTTTCAAGACAAATTCTCTCAGTTAAAATTGTAAAATAAGTCAAGTTGAAATTAGGATAATTAAAATAAATTTTTACAAGAGTAAGATTTTTAGATAGTGAGCCAAAATAATGACAATAACTCAGACTTGTAACATATGGTGGGAAATTAAAAGATATGAAGTAACATTTTGACTGTCTAAATCAACATTATAAGATACTAAATTGAAACTATGAGGGAGGTGTTTCCAGATTGTATGCTAAACTAAACTAATAGCTGCGAGCTGTGGTTAATGGACAGATACATTTGGGCAAATAAACATATTTCCCCAAATTCTGAACTATTCCTTTAGTTTTAGTCACTGTTTTATATAATTTTCTCTCCACAGAACTTCCACCTGATTCCCCTCCTGCAGTTTGGTGAGTGTTCTACATTTATTTCTGTTTCTGTTTTTACTTTGTCTTTAAGTTTTGTGTGTTTTAAAACTTTTAAATTCTGATTCTCAGCCAGTTAATAATAAATGATATAGAGATAAATATGACAACACTGCCTCCCTGTGGTCTTAATGAAGAACTGCAGTTTTAAAACAGCTGCACATTCAGTAGGCTCATGTTCTTCTATAATCCTTTAATAGTTATATTATTATTATATTTTATATTAAAATATCTTTAATAATTATAAATACTGTCAGTGCTTTAATCATACTGAGCTCCACATTTCTGCTTCGGACCCATGAAGCTCAAAAGATAAACAAGATGGAAAAACGTCCATAAATCTAAGAAATCGTTGAAAAAAGGATAATTCAGAACTTGCCTTAGATTAATAATTTAAACATTTTTAAGTTTTCTTCAGTATCAGAGTAATCCAGTGATAATTGTCTGTACATCCATGTGTACACTGCAAACAGGAGCTGCTATTAGCTAATTCAGCTTACTTTTAATGGTGCTAATTTGTCAAAAATGTGAACAAATATAAGCTTTAAACAATTTACAACAGCATTTTTAATGAGCTTTAATTCTTTCTATCCCTATATTGGTTCCTGTATTGAGGCCTATATGTTGGCGTTAGCATGCATCAGATTAGCAAAAACATTTTTAACTTCCTGTATTTTCATCTTAAAGTCAAATTTCATACAAAATTTAATCTAAAATTACCTACAAGACGCTCCAGACAGGATTATCATGATGTTTAATTCCCCCCAACTCCCCTAGAGAAAAGAAATAAATCCAGTCTGAATGAGGTTTATAATAAACCTCAAACTTATCAACAAAAAAAACATTTTCTGGATTTTGTTTTTGGCAGCAATGAGCTTCCGTACAATCACACAACCTCGTCAACAAACAGAAAAACGGGACAAACACAATTGAAATAGTTTTATTTTTATGATCACATGATCCATGACAAAAAGGGACAAAAAGGGACATCATTCAAGAACTTCTTCATCTTTACATAATTACACGTACGTATGAACATGGGGGGTCTTTTAGGGGGGCCTTTTAGAGTCTCTTTGGCACTGTAGGACGTCCGCTGAAGGCCGGGCTCGCTCGGCGCCACTTTCACATTTCATCCAGGGGGTTCAGTGTGGCGCTTTAAAACACATTCACACCGATTTCAGTTCATTTACAACCACATGAGTCTGTTTTTAAAACGTGTTCACATCCTGGGTTAGGAGAGGAGGAGTCAGGAGCTTTGTTGTCCTCCTGTGCAGCAGCAAAAGCAGCAGGAGCAGCAGCAGAAGAAGAAGAAAGAGACAGGAAGTGAAGCAGCCTCCTCCTGTAGTCCTTTTCAAACATCGCCTGCCACGACGCGGCGGGAGTTCGGCTCAGTCGGAGCCGTCCTGGTTCTCCAAGATCGGATCTGAGGACGCAGACAGAGACCGATGTACGTGAGCCAGTCTGCACAAGGCTTCACAGTTAATGCCTACGTTACCCATAATGCAGCTCGGCAACACTTCAGTCAGAGATTCAGGAGCGTTATGCTATCACCCAACAGATATTGTAGACGTCAACTGACGCTGACTCGAGTGACATCACTTGAGGTAGTAGTAGAGCTCTCCAACACCTGGAAACACGCATTATAATAATAATACCTTTTATAGCCAATAGCTGGACCACAGGTGTGTTTACCTGTCAGTGTGCTGCTGATGTTGGGAGGAGACACAATCAGCACGGCGCTGCCAGACGTTATCCCAGAATGCACCACTGGACCCTCGACAGAGGAGGAACTCAGCTCCTGCACACACACACACACACACACACACACACACACACACACACACACACACACACACACACAATATTAGAATTATGACTTTTCACATCAAGAAGGCAAAAAAAATCCACCAATAAAAAGACAGAAAACTTTATTGTCGTAAAATAAAGCTGTGAATGCAGAGCTTTTCAAATTAAAAGCACGTGTACTGCGCAGCTGTATTATGTAGGATGGAGGAGCATGTAGATAATGGATTAAAACTCAAACATTCAATATTTATCATTTGGATAAAAAAAACATCCTTACTGAAGGTCCAGATTTATAACAATAATAATAATAAACTTTATTTATATATCACCTTTTATAACAGAAAATGCAGCTCAAGGTGCTTCAGAGAAACAAATCAATGACACAAGTATTAAAAACAAGAGAGATAACAGATAAAATAATTATAAATATTACAAATAAAGTTATTAATACCTTGTCAGAGAAGCCGTCTGTCATTGGCTCCTGAGTTTCCGTGACGACGCTCTCCGAACCCTCCAGGAGACTTGTGGCTTCGAGCCGGTCGTCCTGGCTCCGCCCCTCTGTCTCCACCACCAGCTGCGATTGGCTGAGAGGGTCTGAGGAGGCGGGGTCGGAGGTGACTGTCTGGATGATGACGCCATCGCTGGAGCAGAGGCCGTCCGTCTGAGCAGGGAAAAACACACGTAAACAAACAAACAAACAAACAAACAAACAGACAGACTAACAAACGCTTCCCCCGCACTGACCGACAGACTGTGGAGGATGATGTGCTCGTGCGACGATGGAGAGGAGCCTGTCGTCAGGGTAACCGTGCTGTTGAGTGGAAGCCCCTGACTGGTGGAGAGGCTGAGCGGCAGGCCCTGATTGGACGTCGTCTGGAGGTAGTAGGTCCCCGGGGTGCCGGTGGGCTGAAGGTGAAAGGACTGGAGCAGAAAGACGAGACGAGGAAACATCTCTGTTAAAATTGTATCGTAGCATCACTAATTCCTACTTCAGAGATTTTTATTGTATATCGTTGAGGAATAAAGAGTTTACACAAAACTACATAAGAAGTTGTAAAGCTTCCAGATCTCACTATAACAGACGGATTAATACTAAATTTATATGGGATAAACTACATAGAGCTGCATAGAGTTGGTGGTTAACCGGACAGACAGACAAAAAGTTAGGTTTAACAATATTTATAACATAAAGCAGCTTGTCTAAATGGTTAGGAAGTCCTCTTATGCACTGTTTCCCCCTTTTCTATAATTTCTAAGTGACTCAGTGATATTTTACGGATATTTCATATTATATTCAAAACTGTACAATGAACCCAAACAGTGATCTCAGTAACTGCAGGAAGTTTGTGTTAAACGAGTGATTTGAATGAATTTTGAGCAGATAGTTTCCTTTTTAGGGAACTTTTGTTTTACAATTGTCTGTCTGTATTGTTTTTTTTAATGATTTTTAACAATCATACAAACTTAAGACGCTTCTTTTTTGATAAATTCTGTGTTTTCTTGTCCCTGACGCTTGGCCTATTGTTCTTTTAGATAATCTTCTTTACTGTTCTTCACAGAAGTGAACCAAATGTTGAGGTATAGGACTACTGTGTATAAGTTTTAAGTTCTCCAGCAAGCTTTGGCGACCCCTACTGAGGGTTGGGAACTATTGCTCTTAAGTGTATTTATCGTTGTAATTGTGTTTGATCGTGTTGTGCTTACAGGCAGGATCTCGAAGGTCTGCAGGGCTCCTGTGTTCAGAGTGATGGTTTCACTGTCGCTGGCTGCAGCTGAAGAATCTGAAGCTTACAGGGAAACACAAAGATCCACTGTCAGGAATCAACAGTACATACAGTACATATATATATTTATATATACAGGACAAAGTTCAGTCCAACAAACAGCTGCAGTGTAGCTGGAATCTTTGCTGTTATAAACGTCTTCATCATCAGCATAGAAGAGCATTTTACCTCGAATCTACATAAAAGAAGACACAAATGTTGTCCTGAGTCTCACCCAGGTGTGTGATCTGCAGCGGGATCTGTACGGGGATCTGCAGCGCGGCCACAGAGCTGGGGGCGGGGCTGCCACCGCCCTCCTCCAGCCGGGTGAGTCGGATCTGTAGTGAGGAGGAGGAGGGGCTTCCTGGTCCGGATGATGTCTGTGAGGATGCCACCAGCTCCTGGAGAACCTTCAGGAGGACTGAGGACACACAGATAGACACACAGGTGAGTGTCAGCAGTTTTCTGTGGTTTATTTTCATTATACTTTACAGAAACAGCATAAAAAATACAATTGCACGTTACAAAATCAACAGCATAAAGAACAGTTACATATAGAAACTGCCTTGCAGTAAATTAAACAATTAAAAATTAACATATAACTGTTTTTGGCCACTTTGGGGGCAGCAGAAACAAGCTATGAACACAAAACGAGTGAAATTAGTGAAATCCGTCAGTGGTGTAATTGGGAAACTGGGCATGTTTGTTTTCATAGAAATAGCTAATACAATTTGGACTTTCTATCATTTAATAAACTGACAGACATATTTTATGGATATTTCATATTATATTCAAAACTGTACAATGAATCCAAATAGTGAACTCCGTAACTGCAGGAAGTTTGTGTAAAACAAGTTATTTGGATGAATTTTTAGCAGATTATTTCCTGTTTAGGCAACTTTTTATGCAATTCTCTGTCTGTATTATGGATTTTTTAATCATTTTTAACAATCATACACATATATCCAGCTTCTTTTTTGACAAATTCAGGGTTTTCTTGTCCCTGATTCTTGGCCTATTATTCTATTAGATAATTTACTTTACTTTTCTTCACAGAAGTGAACCAAATGCTGAAATATAGACCTACTGTGTATATTTTCTAAGGATTTATTTACGGGAAAATCTAGAAAACTACATTTATACTTTTATTTATACTATATTTATGTAATATAATGTGTGTGTACCGCTGAAGGGGATCTCCTTGTGATTGGCTACTTGTCTCTTGATGCTCCACCACTTCGATCGTAGCCACTGAGGCGATCGGACGCTGCTCCACCCGCCTGCAAGATCCTCCCACTTGATTTCATTCTCATCCTCCACTTCCAGCTCCGAAATCCTGAAACACGTCGTTACAGGTTCACATAGTTTACAATGTGGATTTCTATTATTATTACGCTGGTACAAACACACACACTCATATATAAACTCTGTACCTGCGTATGAGGTTGAGGTCGTCTTCCTTCATCCACTCTGTTCCTCCGCTGTGTTTCCAGTTCAGGTAGTTCAACCACTTCGACCGGCACTGTTTCTCTGAGCGCGTGCGAACCTGATCGGCGACCGTCGCCCAGGAAACGCCTCCTGTGACCGCCGACCCCGGTGTCACACCCGCCATCTCATATACAACTTCGGCGAGGCGTCTCTCCTCCTCCTCACTCCATTTACCTGTTGTTGTTTTTAAAAGACAACACACAAGCGGATTTTATATGAAAAGTTGTTAACTGAAGATTCACACTACAAACAAAGCTTCAAGTGTTTTCTACCAATTTTTGCACTATAAAGATGATAATTTTGTACTAAAGACGCCCAAAAACACCCCAATTTAATATTTATGTTTATGTGGATTTATGTTGATCTTGTCAGACGATGGCGTGTTTATATAAAAGCAGCAGCTTGGGAATGACTGCTGGAGTTTATGGGCCTTAAATGAATTAAATCTTAGTATTAAATCACTAATTCATATTGCATAGTTCAGTTACACAATATGGCAAACAGTAAAATATGTGAATGAGAATAATTACACATGGAAAACAAGTTAATATCCCCAAATTCCAGATTTATTTTCACATAATCTTCACCTGTGTTGCACGTGTCCTTCATCAGTCGGCAGCGATCTTTGACAGAAGAGGCACTGCGACCCAGAGCTGCTCCGATAGTCGCCCAGTCGTTCCCATGTTTCTCCCTCAGCCTGAACGCCAGATATAAAACAACTTGTGTGTATTTAAACAACTTTAATGTTAAAAGCAGACACACAAAGGTTTTACTCACGCTTTTAGCTTCTCTATCTCGTCAGGAGTGTACCTTAGGGAAAACAAATGAGTATTAAAAGTGAAAATAAACAATAAATGAGGTGTTTTCTGTCACATTTTCGACATAAACTCACTTGCCGACGTGGTTTCGGTTGTCGTACATTCGCAGAACTCGCCTGTAGACGGCGAACAGCGGCCGGTTTAAGCCCAGCGCCACAGAGCGGTAGAAGTCCTTCCTCTCCTCTTTGGACATCTCAAAGATGATCTCTGCCGGGTCTTCGATGCCTCGGCCCTGAAACACACACAGAGGCAGTCGTACAAAATGTCCTCCGACGTGATTAAGGACAGAAATAAAGACGGACGCGGGCACAGAAAGTTGCGTACTGTTACGTATCGTTCGATGTTGCTCATCAGAATGTCAATCTCCTCTTTAGACCACATTCCCTGCTTCCACTTATGACCTGAAGGGGAAGAAATGTTGAATCAAACACATTTCATAGTTTTGCTTTTTGGATAAGAAGAAATACATTTTATTATTCATGAGCCAGTAGTTATCAAACTAATTATGCTATAAATGATTGTGTTTTCTTCCTGTGATAATAGTAAAATAAATACATAATGGTCAGTAAACCTCAGCTGGAGTTTTCATACATTAACCTGAGTTAAAATCATGTTTAGTTTCCTTTGTTAGACACTCATATTTGTATGTTTACCACAAAGATCCCTGTGTTTTACGGCCTTATTTGTTTCATTACAGCGTCTTTTCAGAATAATATTGACTGTAACTACAAATACACATTAAATTTATGTTTTTTTACCCAAAAACATCAGGATGTTACTTTTTTCAGCCCTGACTCGTGTCTGCAGGTCCCTTCAGTCTCCATAAGGCCCCAGCAAAGTCCAGCAATAAAGTAAGTCAGTGTTTAACCTGTGAGGTGAAACCCTTAAAAAACTTCCTGCACAACTCGCACCGCTGTTGTTAAACTCAAATCTTTCATCAACACGTCAGAGGAAAACCTTCAGGGAGAATCGACCAGAACAATAAAACGTGAGTGGAGACAAACCGTTACCTTTATTAGTCAGAGTGTCTTTGTCTTCTTTGGTCGTGAACCACGCCTGACTGACAGGTGACACCTCTGCTTTCTGATTGGGCGAGAGAGAGTCCTCATCCTCCTGCAGAATCTACAAACACACAGACAGACAGACAGACAGACAGACACACACACACACACACAGCTATTTTAACCATCAAATTTAATTAAAAATGTAAAACAATCACCGTTTCCAGCTTAATTCATCCGATTTGTTTAGGTTTTTTAGTGTTTAAAGTAGCTCCTCTGTCTGACGTGGTGCTTTGAATGTGTATTATTGCATCAGTGTTTTGGAGACATATAATAATGAACTTTTAGACTCATATTTTAAAGAGAAATTCACAGATACATTGATATTTTTCATCTGGAATGAAAATATGTGGATTTTGCACCGATCAGACTCAGCAGAGATACTCAGAAGGCTGCTTTTCTTAAACAAATAACTTTATTATATAAGTTAAATACTCTTTTCAACCTCATAAATAGTTGAACACATACATTGTCAACCAGTTCTAGTTGACGTTAGGCTTGTTCAGGATGAGCCGACGTCACACGGGCAACATTGGCTCTTAGTTTTGGCCACCTTTTCCTTATTTTCTGTGTGATTTTAATGTTGAACTCGATTTCAGCCGGTGCGATGAAGGTTTAACCAGCTAAACACACAGATCTTACGTGGTTTATAATAATAATAACGTTTATTTATATATCTGAACATGATCTGCAGGTTACAGGCTGTAACGTTTATTCTTTGAAGGCTGCTGGAAACTGCTGAAATCGTTGTGTTTTACATTTTAAATTAAGGTCAGTTCATCTCAAATGAGCTTATTACTGAGAGCTGCCTTCTCTCGGTGCAATCACAGCGCTCTCTGCTGGACAAACCTCGCACTGACACTAATATATTATATTATATATTATATGCTTCCTACATTATAGGCCAGATTCTCATCCTTCTGTGTGTTAATGAATATTTTATTTCTCATTCAACACAAACTGGTTGCCTGTCGACCAATCAGTGTACACAAAGTGAATCCCTCAGGATATATAAGGAACTTTTAGTGAGGAAGAAGAAGAAGAATAGAAAAGTACCTGAATCTGAGCGACGCCCTCCTCGGAGAGATCAGCGTCTGCGGTGGCCGTCATCGTCACCTCGAAGCCTTCGTCGTTCTCCGACACTGACGGGAGGAAGGAGAGGAAGAGTTGTTACAGCTGCAACAACAAAATCCTGTTTTAGTTTTTAATATAATCAGCAAGAAACTGATAGTTTATTTAAAATGTAAAACATTTAGCTGCGTTGATTCATGGATTAGAAATTAGATTTAACATTTATTTATATGTTTTATTAAAGTTAGAGAAAGTCTGAAGATACGTCAATAACCACACTGCGAAAATACAGAATATAATGAGTTAATTCATTTAAAAACAAGCTCATTTAGCTCCCAGTGAGATGAGAAATAAGATTTAAAAGCCCAATTTCAGCGACAGATTAGAGGACGTTGTTGTAAAGGTGAGGACGTTCTCACTCGGTAAGGTGACCACGGAGAACTGAGGCGCGTCCGAGTCGTCCTGTTCGTCTGCAGAGAGACGCAGTTTCTTCTGGAGGGGCTCCGAGTCCTCGTCTACACACACACACACACACACACACACACACACACAATTAACACATGCTCTGTCCAATTACACCAACACAGGTTTGTTTACACACAACTAGAGCTGCATTTAACAATAATTTATGGATTATTCGCTATTATTTTTTACACTTAAATGACTTTTTTGGTTTATAAAATGTCGGAAAATAGTGAAAAATTACAATCTGACGTCTTAAAATGTCTTAAAATGTCCGACAAAGAGTCAAAAAGCCAAAAAATACTCAGTTTTCTATCACATAGGTTAGAAAAGTTGGGAAAAAAGGAGATTTTGGGGCTTATTTTGGCTTGAAAAATGACGTAAAGGGATAAAATAGCTCCACAAAAAACACAGAATCAGAAATAGTTTATTTATTTATCGTAAATTTGTTTGTTACAGTTGCTCGAGGTGCTCACACGACATTAAGAATAGAAATGTGTGTGTGTGTGTCTGTCTGTGTGTGTGTGTGTGTGTGTGCGTGTGTGTGCGTGAACCCACCGTTGGGAGGACAGTGCAGTATGATGCTTCCATCGCTGTCCTGAGTGAGAGTGACGGACTTCACAGTTTCTAACGCTGCAGCCTCGTCATCCTCCGCTGCTGAACTCATCGTGCAGCTGAGGATCAATAACACACACACACACACACACACACACACACACACACACACACACACACACAAGGTCATGATACTGTTTGTATTGTAGGAAAATCTGGTTTTCTAACATGTTTTCACATCGTTTCCATTACGACTATTTTCATTATCGATTAATCTGCTGATTAGAAAATATTTAATTTATAATGATATAAAACAGGAGATCAAACACTAGAGAAGCTGAAACAGAGGCATAATTCACATTTTTTCTTTAAAAAACGACAGAAATCGATCGAATCGAACAAAATTGTTTAGATGCAGATTCATTTTCTTATTGATTATTCACCTAATCGATGTTCCACATACACTCACTGACCACTTTATTATATATATCCATATATTTACTGTTTTATGGCATTTATATAAGTGCTGTGTGCTTTAATTACATTGTATATATATATATATATTTATCCTGATTATTTTATTGTTTATTGTTGATTGTTTTGCCAGAGACAATAATTCTATAAAATGTTGAATCCAAGTGAAGAACAGCAACAAATATGCCAACAAAAAGCCCAAATATATAAATAAGACATTGTCCAGGACAACGGGAAGCATTTTTTACTTCAACGTATCCATGACGATTACAGTAATTCATAATAAGTAACATAATTAGCCAAAAGAAAGATATAGTGTGCTGCAGAACTCCCTTCAAATTTCTGTTGTTTTAAACTAAATGACGTATTGTAACTGCTATTAAACTCCAACAACATGACTTAAAACATTTAATGTATTGTTAGATGGGAAAGGTGAATTCGGGATAGAAATTATTTATGAACAAGTTTCATATTTTTATAAAGATCTTAACTTAAAGAACGAGCTCAGGCTGCTCGCTACTCGAATTTTAGTGGAATCATACAATATAAATATACTGTTTTATCTTTAATGTTTGTAGTTTCATTGTTTTATTATTGTTATTTCTTGTTTTATACTTTGAATGTTTTGAAATGTTTTATATTGTTATTCCTGTGTTATAGCACCTTGTAACGCTGGAAAGGCACTTTATAAATAAAGTTTATTATTACATTTATTAGTATAATATCATGATATATCAATTATGATAATAAATTATTGTATTTTTTAATGCATGCATCGCTATTTGGTGCAGAGACATTATTCTGGTGAAAACACAAATAAATTAAACTACTAAAATTCACACCAAACTCCCTTTAAAAATATTCCTATTTAAAGCCAAATTGCATACTGGCTTTAACAGTCAACTCCCACATAAGTATTTATGATATTTTACTCATCATTAGTTTGGATTAGTAAACTCGGGTGTGAAATTATATATAAATAATGCAGTTATCTCAGTAAAAACCAAGCACTATAGTCTGACATTAAACTGCTCGCTGCCGCCCTCCGCTGTTCGCCAGCGCAAACACAATGATGTAGATAAACAGAGGCCACAACAAACAGCAGATTGGCCCTAATTTATCAAAACATGTGTCGTGCTTATTGGACAGTATATAATCCCGGATTACAGGCTGGGCCACTCTTAAAAGATTTTACTTCAAATTAAAACCAGTCGTGTACTTAAAGTCCAACATTCTGCAAGAATACGTAAAATTGGTCTTTTTTTAAATGGAGTTCGGCGCAAGATCCCATGCATCGCTATTTGGAACACAACCCTGGCATTCAGCGCACAGATGGATGGATGCGTGGACTTTACATCGTATACATAAATAAATATAAAACCACAGAAGTAACGTATTTATCTTCTAAGACAACAATGCTTCCGCTTGCTTTTCCCCATTAGCATCCTGCCAGCTAACTAAATGAAAAGACGAAAAAATCTCCGGCGCCATGTTCGTGGACAAGGTGAAGCTTGTGGCGTCGGTGCGGTTTTTGACGCTGTTTGTTTTTTCTTTTTTTGCGCTTTATTCTCCGTTTTTTTCGCACTTTGCGCTTTCTCTGCGCTTCCCCGCGGCTCCGACTACCGAACAGAAAGTGAATTTTACTTTTGATTTGGCTACTTACTTCCTGTTTTTGGTCCGGGGACTTGCGAGTTACCAGGATGAAGGTAAAGTGCCAGGATGGAGGATGGGGCGACCGAGGCCCGGCGGGTTGCCAGGTGCGGAGATTATCCGAAAACTGCAGAGCTGGAAGTCTTTACTGGTGTTAATATTAATAATAATAATAATAATATTACTGTAACTAGTAGTGTAGCTTATTAATAATGTATTTTAGTAATAATATTACAGTTACAGCCCCTAAAAATACATTTTATTGTGGATTTTATTTCATTTTCAGTCAGATTTTTGTGAGGCATAACAGATAAAACTAATATAATTAGTAAGTAATAATATTAATTTTGAAAAGAGTTAATGAGTAATAAATTACTTTTTTTTTTTTTAGTAACTTGCCCAACATGCTCTGTGTTATATAAAATAGTGATATTAAAATAGTTTATTTACTTTTTAATCTAATAAGATAATAATAATTAATAATAATAATTAATAATAATAATTAATAATAATAAATAATAATAAGAAGAAGAAGAAGTTCAATTGTGTTTATTTATTTATTTTTACATTAGACACAAAAGAATATATCAATAAGATTTATTTTGGAAACGATTCGATAATCAATCAATAGTGTAGTGTGTAGAAATCCAAAACATTGATTGCTTATGACTTTTTATGAATATTTTTTTATGTGTTTTTCATTTTTAATTAATTAATTAAGTGTTAATTGAATATATTTTAAATAGAGAAAACTTGGCAAATGTTAGTTGCAGCTTTATAAAACTAACTATCGGTACCTGTTATATTGGTTCATAATGTCATTTTCTTTATTTTATTTTCCCTTTTGTGTATTAGAACAGGAAAATTCTATTCCATACTCATTTAAACACAATTTATGTGTATTAAAATGAATGCATGTACAGATTTATTGTGACCAACAGTTAAATTTAATAGCAAACAACCTGTTTTATTGAGCGTAAACGTTAATTTTTCACCTTAGAAATAATCTTGAACTTGAATCCCGCTCATTACACTTAGGATGTGGTTGAAAGCTCAGTAAAAAGCGAGTCAGTGGACCTTTAGGTTGCTTAAAATCTGTAAATATTTGAACTGAAAAACAAATTTGCGTGCAAGAATCCAACCTGGCAACCAACCAGCTCCGCTCTGAAACCTGTCCGGGCAACAACCTGCTTTATTTATTTATTTAAATTCACTTAAATAATATAAAACAGACATTAAAACCCCACATTGACACTAAATAAGTTATGAATTAATTTAAACTTTTTTTTAATGTGCAAACTGGAAACACACTTTGATGGTCACCGACGCGGGATTTGCTGAGAGGGAACTGGTTCCGGTGGTTGTTTCCATCGGACCACTATTGGCGCCGAACGGAACATTCAAGCAGCTAAAATCCAAAATCCCACATTTTTAAACTTCTTGCTGTAATTAAACCAAAACATGGGGGAACAACCAGTGAGAGTGTAAGTTTAACTCTATTTATATTTAAACTGGTTTCATCTGGTTAAACGTTGTGGTTGAATCTGTTTTTATTTTTATTTTTATTTACCATGAAGTGTCTGTTGGTTTCAGTGTCTGTTGGTTTCAGTGTCTGTTGGTTTCAGTGTCTGGTAAAGATTATAAAAGCTTTTGTGGACTTTCAGGACAACTGAGGGTTTCTTATTAAAGTTTAAAAGTAGGTCAAGTTGTGTCATTTGCGAGCAGTGCGAACCGCGACCACCCTGCGCCGAACCCCATTCAAAATTTGTATGATTTAAGGCCGCGTTACTCTTCGGCTGGTTTGTACACATCGTAAGATTTAATGTGGCAGCAGAGGCGACGTTAATGAAGTGAACTGAAGAATCCGGCGCACATTAAGTTCACCAAAATATATTTACTGTGAGAGAATTTAAATCTGCCTCCTGAATGTTATTTATTACCTATGGAAGCTCATTTCTGCCAATATGACAAAATAAAGGATTCTGTAAATGTTTATAATGAGAAACTTTATCAAAATAATTAGAAATATTGACTTAGTGTCTCAAAATAATGAGAAACTTTATCAAAATAATGAGAAACTTTATCAAAATAATGAGAAACTTTATCAAAATAATAAGAAACTTTCTTAAAATAATGAGAAACTTTATCAAAATAATGAGAAATATTTTCAAAATAATATGAAACATTTTCAAAATAATGAGAAACTTTATCAAAATAATAAGAAACTTTCTTAAAATAATGAGAAATATTTTCAAAATAATGAGAAACTTTATCAAAATAATGAGAAACTTTATCAAAATAATGAGAAACATTTTCAAAATAATAAGAAACTTTCTCAAAATGAGAAACTTTATCAAAATAATGAGAAACATTTTCAAAATAATAAGAAACTTTCTCAAAATGAGAAACTTTCTTGAAATAATGAGAAACTATCAAAATATTGAGAAACTTTATTATTATTATTTCATTATTTCAAGAAAGTTTCTCATTATAATCACTTATAGAATAATATGAGATTTACAACCGGATCCATTAAAATTTCACAGATGTATTTGATCATATTTTGTCTGCAGAATTAAAATGTTGTCTTTAATATCGACCTGTGCATGTTTACCAACAAACAAACCACCGTTTTAAATCATAATTTATATAATAAATGTATTTATTATAATGGAAACTCGGCAGTGTTGAGCTTCAGTGTGGAGGTTGATCCATTTTTCAGCCAATAGAGACTAAAACTTCTTTAAATTAGTTAATTAAAGTAATTAAATTAAATTAAATATGTGTGTTTGCAGTTTGGCGTGTGGGGACGTTGAAGGCCGGCTGACCGCTCTGTTCAATCGAGTCCAGGCCATCCAGAAGAAGACCGGACAGTTTGATGTGAGTCAGTTAAATTAAACTTTACAGACGTACGATAAAATAAAAACGTCGCTAAAAATCTAGAATAATAAAAACTTTCTCCCGCAGTTGTTGCTGTGCGTTGGAGAGTTTTTTGGGACGACGCCGGAGGCCGAAGAGGAGTGGCAGCAGTACAAAACCGGAGCCAAGAAAGGTACGAACATCTGCAGATGAAGAGAAAGAGGCAGCTTAAACCAACGTGGGGTTATTCTGAGGCTAGTTTGGTCTGTTTTTGTGCCTCCTCAGCTCCCATCCACACCTACATCCTCGGAGCAGCGAGCCAGGAGACGGTGAAGAACTTTCCCAGCGCTGACGGCTGCGAGCTGGCTGACAACATCACGTATCTGGGTAAGACAACAGGCACTTGATGAAGCATGCTAACAGGTTGTCGGATGGAGAAGTGATCAAATAAAGGAACTGTAATTGTACAATAACGTTTCCATTATTTAACACGTTGCCTAATGTGCGCTTCAGGTCGGCGAGGTGTGTTCACGGGCGTGTCGGGGTTACAGATCGCCTACGTCAGCGGTCGGGAGGCCCTTCAGGAACCGGCCCCGGCTCACTGCTTCACATCCAAAGATCTGTCGGCCCTCGTGGCTCCGCTGACCAGCAGCTCCAAGTTCAGAGGGGTCGACATCCTGCTGACGTCACAGTGGCCCCGAGGGGTGTGGCACTACGGAAACAACCCGGTAACGATGAGCAATATATAAATGTTATTGTTATTGATCCATTTCTGGTCCATTTTTAACCGAGAACTGCGGATTTCCAAGATCAAGAATGAACTTTAAACGTTGTAATTATAAGAAAGTCACTGGCACCAGACTCCATTGACAAAACCAGCAATTTAACCTCTCAGATAATCATAAAACACACTTCAAACTGGACAGGAAACAAAATAAAAGTCACCAAAAACCATCTTTTTTTTGTCCTTCCAACAACTTCCAACACTGATTTGGTCAAAATAAACCTTAAATTCACAGAGTTTGATGTGAAAATATCCAGGAAACAGGCTGAAATAGCAGCAACGCAATCCTTCCAACCAGAAACAACTATTATATCGCCACCAAACCCCATTGACAAAAACAGCAATTTTACATCAGCATCCTAACATCATTAAAACGGGATGAAAACAAAGTAAAACTCTTAGTATTTGTTAGTCTTTCCAACAATCACCAACTCTGCTATGTTACTCCACCATATCTTTACACATATAATATAGTTATTTGCTGCTATATTAATGTTTTTTATACACACACACACATAAAGCTTTAAGGTTTCTGTTGTTTTCTCGTGCTTCTGTTGCAGGAAGTGAACACAAAGTTCTGTGGGAGCGGCTCCGTCGCCAACCTCGCTGACAAACTGAAACCGCGGTACCACTTCGCTGCACAAGAGGGCGCTCACTATGAAAGGCTCCCGTACAGGTAGACCGCACAGCAACAAGGAAGTGCTCAGACTCCGTTTACTCCCTGTTCCTACATCCTGAGTATTTTTGTGTTGTTTGGTGCTTTTTGCGTGTTGACAACACTGTTCGTGCGTTTCCAATTCCACCGACAGGAATCACGTTATTCTCCAGGAAAACGCTCAGCACGTCAGCCGCTTCATCGCCCTGGCAACCGTCAACAACCCAGCGAAGAAGAAGGTGTGTGTGTGTCTTCTCTGAGTAACACACAAACATGATGCAGATATTTCTAGATTCAGCGTGGCTCACACTTCCTCTGGATATCATTATCTCTGTTGTTCATTCTGTATAAAATATTGATTAATCCAATCAGAAATCATAGGAAGAAAAAAGACTGCAGGACTTGCCTTAGAATAATCATGTTTTTAAGTTTTCTTCAGCATTAAAGTAATCCAGTGATACTCGTCTGTACATGCATTAATACACTGCAAACAGGAGCTCCTGAAAGCTAATTCGGCTTACTTTAATTTGCCAAAATGTTAGGCTAAAGGTTTTAAATATGGGTTTTCCATAGAGTTTTACACTGACTTTTTTCCTGAGCCATCTGTCTGTCTCTGTCTGTGTGATCGCTGCAGTATTTGTACGCGTTCAACATAATCCCCATGAAGACCATGGATCCATCAGAGCTGGTGA